ACTTTCCGTGCGAATTCATCGACTCTAGGTCTTCAATATTAACCCGAGTCTCAAATCACCCACGCGCTTTGTGTGCAAGATACTCTTTATAGCTATGCATCATATTTCGTGAGGGCCATCTACTGCTGGTATCTTGCACGGCTCGAACTACTGTTCTTTTGTGAGATATTCCAGTGTTTTCCTCTTGAAGTGTCGAATCGGACTTGAGTCATCATGAAGTAATCCTAACGCAAATAGAATTATGGTGTGCTCCATCGCACACTTCGTAGTTTTCAACTTTCTGTTATATTCTCAATGCCTAATTGTCAAGAGGAAGCCTCATTCGATCCTGATCATTATCCTGAGGGGCCCAACAAGAAATTCTTGGAAGGCTCCGAGCAGGAGCTGTTGGATGAGTATCTCCCAAAGTTTGAAGGAGATCGACAACTGAAAAACCATCTTGACAATGTACTTCACGTAAGCCACCCGTGGTAGCTCTTCCCGCATAAACTGCTGCGATGCGCATGCTCATACACGCTTCTGGTACTCAGATACTCGATCTTAAGGATAACATGGTGAGTGTTGATGTTGGTGCTGGTACCGGTCTGTTCACACGAGAGTTAGCCAAATGCGCCGGTGCTAAAGTTTACGCCACGGAGATCTCTCCTGGATTTCTGGAATACCTAAAAGAGGACAGTCGCCTCGACAAGAATCGGGTGCATCTCATCAAATGTGGGTCTCTGGGTCTTGGGTTCTTTCGTTCGACTAACGCGGTGGCACAAGGGATGGCCTCCTGGAATCTCGACGTTATAGCACGCTCTAGGAGTCTTGTGCTGGACCAGGTACAGAAGAGAGCCTCTGCCTCCCTGAGGAGGTGAAGGGCACCGTAGACCTCGTTCTGGTCTGCGATGTCTATCATCACTTGACACATCCACAAGCCGTCTTGAGGGATATCAAGGCCGCTCTAAAGGGTGAGTCTACCGTATAGCTCTCGATGAGGAAATACCGCTGTTGTTAGGTGAAGGCAGGCTCGTTCTCATAGACCATTGGAGAGACCCCAAAAAGGCGAGTCACCCAGATGAGGATTGGGTTTTCTCTCACATACGAGGAGACAAGGAAGATTTTGTCCGGGTAGGCATCATCACATCAAATCGACTCCTTTTTTATCCACTCGCATGGAGTTGCTTTTACTGATTGTGAGGGATTCGTATGCGGAAGTAATACCCTTTTTGTCAGGAAGTCGTTGCTGCTGGTTTCCGTGTTGTTGAGGAGCCAGAGATCCAAGGGGTCGAGGAAAATTACGCTGTTGTTTTCGAGAAGACGCTCTAATGATGTACACACTGCGCGGGGCTTTCTAAAAAGCTTGTGAATCTGTTTTCCTTTTCTGACGGTGGTTTTGCAGTTTCTGAGTTCATTGGGACTGTGCGAAAACTCCACTGTCTCTTAATGTTGAGGGGGGCAATCTTGTTCTGGAATTTATCGAATACATATACCTGTGCTATAAGTGTGCTCTAAGAGTTCTATTCTATCCACTAGTCTGGTCTGGTGGAACTGAAGACTTTAACCCAAGTTGCTCCCGGGCTTCGCGACTTACTCGGGGGGGGCGGGCTCGCAGCGTGATTCGAGGCTTTGGGATCCCTCTCAACTTCTCTCCTTCGAGTACACCGACTCGAGTCTGAATCATGAAATCCATTCGTCCTGATGCAGCCGACTTAAGGAAGATTTCGCAACTTCTTGAAGGGAGGGCTACGGAAGAGTTTCGAAACGAGGACAAGGTGCTCGAGTTTCTCCTCTCGTGTTCGATGTCGAGAGAGCGCTGGCTGAGCCGGCTTGGCTCATCATCTTGATTATCTTTTCGAGGTAGCCATGATCCAGACGAAGACCATCGTCACTGTCAGCGAACGTAGACTGATCCCGTCCCGCGTCTGCCATAGCAGCTAGCCAAGTAACGAGACCTGTCAACTGTAGGGCAGAAGCTGGTCAAGGTCTCCACAAAGCCATAAGCCCGGGCCCGATAATAGCAATTGCCATCTCCTCTGACGGTGCGCTCCTCTGCCGTAGGAAGGACCACAGTCCGAGTATTGCACGGTGAGGTTTGGGCGGCCACTCGAGCTGAGCTAGGCCTCTATATGGTCATTGGGAATCGCCGAGGATTCGATCAGGATCTGTGGGATTAGTGTCGGGCTCGGGCAAGCCTGCTATTATCATCCCTTCACTGCCGGGACGGGTGACCAGCATTGACTGCCACATCACTGTCAGTTCGTGAAGCTAAGGTAGGTTCAGATCTCATCAGGAAGGTAGGCTAACAAAGGGAAACTCCTCGCGCCTGCTATCATCAGAGGGGAGTCTCCCGTTTGGAACCGTCGAAGCCTTCGCCTCGAAGGTCGCGACGATATCACGAACCGCTTCATAAGATAACCAGGTCGCACTAGAAACACAAGTGACAGTGAACTTACAAGCCTAGTCGTAATGGTATGGCATGCTACACGGCATGATCAAGCACTAGATATCTCCTTTATCAGACCCTAGCCGTGAGCCACGACCAGAGAAGGCAGCGAACGTTGGGCCACCTGAAACCTGAGAGGCCCAATCTCCATGAACAGGGAGTGCTGCTGCAGCACTGCTGCATGTAAGCTACCGAGTAGTTGGCGTATGTACTGCTATAGCGAGGCGCTGTCGAAGCAGCGCTAACGGGAGCGTAGCCCTCCAAGTCCTTATCAGCTTCATAGACCTAAAGGAGGGGATTGCGAGTCTACTGGCCAGTGTTGCAACATATATTCGCTTTGCTCGGCTGAGTTAAGGAGTTCCCTCACTCACTATAGGAGGTTACATACGAATTCAAGTAGGAAAATAACACGAATTTCGCGAGATTTTCTCGTTCCTACCAACACATGTAATTGACAACGTACATATTTTCCATAGTGCTATTGGCCCCAATACCAACATCACTTACCAGCCAGCATACGAGAGCGACTAGAAGGTCCAGAAAAGGCTGAGCCACGAGTAGCGAATCCGCAAGGGGAAATGAGAACATGGGCGCTGCCTTGACCTTCGTCAGCCTCTCTACGAGGTACAGTGTACTGACGAACTGAATAGGACGTAGTGGAAGGTGATGCACAGACAAGTGCTACCCCATTGAAGCCGAATATGAAGCCGACCATGGTTATGTAGTGTAGCATCATATCCCACTTGAGCACCACATAATAAGCACCGATGGTCCACAGCAGGCTCATCACTCCGTTAACTATCTGGAGTTGGTAACTACGATGCAACATATGAGAAGACAGTGTCCTCCCCAGAGGCTACATTCGGACACCCGCGGCTGCTAGTTGGAGGAAGAGGAGGCCTAGAAGGGCCGGCCGATACTTCCGCCGTATGGTATCGTTAGGGACATGTGAGCCTCCGACCGACGGTATCGGTATCATTGAAAAGAGCTGTGAGGGGGAACGAGCAGACCCTCTGAGAATTCAACTTCAGTCTGATTAACACAAGATGCTTGGTGTATTAACAGTAGTATACCATCAATATCGATCTGCAGCAGACCTACGGGTCTAGGAGGGAAGCACAGCTCAGTGTAGCAGCTGGGGCGAATGGTCAATGACAAGTCGCCGCCACCGCCGTCGAGCATTACGAACCTCGTGTAGCAATCACCATCATCGACAACTCTTGCCAGGGGAAAATGATAAACAATTGAGCAGCAGTTCGAACTACTGCTACTCCAACCATCACCACTATGAACATACTGATATCGTGTATACAACATCGAGGTGGTAGTAGCTGTTGATACCAAAAAATCACCAAATCATGGACGCCATACGGGCGGCGAGTCACACACAAGTGTAACCAATTACTAAGTATTATACGACAACTGTTTTGTTCTCTCAATACAACACAACTATAGTAGTATCGCCGTTTATTGGTCCTCTTCAAGCTTACACGTTATCATATCGGGCAAGTACCCGTTTATAAGAAGCCGTAAGGCATGTAGAGTCGGGGGGCTGCATCTACAACAGCGTCGCTCTAATAGCAATCAGTGATCATCTTCTCCTATGGGTTATTCACAAGATCAACCTCCCTACCCCAAGCGTTTCATTAACGACACCAAGACAATATCGTTAGTAGTAGTAGTGATAATATTAATAGCAATAATCAACCACATACTAGATGGAAAAGAGTACTTGAAGGCTCCTCATCAGCACTATCATACGCTGAGGGCTCCTCCGTCTCCACCCTCAGCACTACTAGAACAGTTACCGAAAATGACCAGCAACAAAAATGGTCGGCCTCTGCATCTCGCCTACCACCGCCCGAGTTGTCATCGGAAACCATTGTAGAGGTTGGGTACCTCGCTCAGCATGCGAGCCCCCACACTAAGACTATCGATGACCACTAGCCCTGGTCAGGTTGAGCTAGTCAAGATAGAGACGAGAACAGTAAATTGTATAACCGGCGTAATAGGCTATGCTGCACCAACCATCGACCAGCTCGGGCTATCATACCTAGGCCACTGTATTACGGGAAATTTCTCACAACCCTGTGAGAAGGAGCACACACCTTCCAATAGATGGCGCGCGACGGAAGGAGAGCCCTTGACACATGCGTTGACCAGAGAAAGCATCGTAGACCTCAACATGAGCGAGGCAGTGATAGTGATAATGTTAACAGCACCGACCGAGACAGACAGCCACGATTCAGCACGTCCAACCAGGAACGGACAGCAACCTGCTATCCATCGTTCTAGTTCAGACCAGCAGTAGTAAGACTAGTGGGAATATGAGACAAAAAAACACGCAAGCAACCTTAAAAGGGAGTCCTCGTCAAATAAGGCACCCACATAGAGCAATGGTACGGTTATGTATTATTATTCAAATAAACGGCTAAGTCGCTATTGAGAAGCAGATGGAGAGGGAGAGGGCACTGACTCAGCGGAGCTGTCCGGTGGAGTCTCACCATCACTACTCTGAGCCATCACGAGACGCTTCACACCTTCCGCTACGAACTTCCGAACCTCATGCTCCGACTCTGTGGAGGTCTGGGAATACCAATTTTGAAGCACCACTTGTCGTATTAGACCCAAGTCCATGAATGCCTGATATACCCCAGCAACGTCCTTAGACGGCAGTCGAGCATCGTAGATGGCATTAGCGAGAGACTCTATGAGCCGCTTCTGATTGTGGAGCTCCCGGTTGTTAGGGCTGCCAACACCAGTCTCAGTGCCTGTACCACAGACCGTACGTAGGAGGCTCTCCGCGGGCTTTAGCCGTACTGTCCAAGAGTCCTTAGACCATGCCAGACGCAAGCTGGATATTAACGCTAAGATCACCCTTCGCTCAAATAGCGCATTTCTACCACCGAGCAAATCACCCGGAACCTCCTCACTGATCAACCTCATTGCTGCATCAAAATATTTGCTCTTCAATTCAGCGCTGAGCTTGTTGACTATACTCTCGGTCTCATCCTTCAGAAGGCCAATCTCGTCGAGCATCTGGTCAAGGTCCTGGTCATCAGAGGGCTCCAAGTGCTTCATCCGTTTCATCAGCGGACGAAGGAAATGCAAACCCTGTTGGACACCGGGGATGCCAGCAAGATGCTTGGCTTGTTCCAACACCTTCACGGCAAGATCGAACGACCGCTCATCGGAAGCAAGGACCTTCCACGAGAGTATCAACTGCGGGTCGAACTCGCTCGGACCGCCTTCCACCGAGTAATCACCAATGAGAAGTAGCGCAAATAGTCGATGATAGAATTCAGGCGCTTTAGGGAAGTCCATAGCGACGTCATCTAGAACCTCGAGGAAGCCTCGCAAAACCAGGTTCAAGACCTTGAAAGGGATAATGCCACGCCGGACCAGCTCTACGATCAGCTCGGCATCCTTGAACGCTTTACGTGGATCCTCCGCTCCCCAGTTGACCAGATTCTCAGCCATCTTGGAGGGACAGCTCGGGTCGTTCTGGACCATAGTAGTCACGTCGTTGAGAAACGAAGTGAGGTCCCCGTCCTCGTGGAAGTAGTCTCTAGAATTCTTGAACTTATCGACCTTGAAAGCTCGTGCTTCCTGTAGCTCCCTCTCCTTAGCCTCCTTTTGCTCCCTCTTCTCAATGGCAAGTTCATCCATCTTCCGTCGGGCCTCATCGAGCTTAGCCTGCCGCTTAGTGTCCTCTTGGCCCTGTAGGGTAACGGACTTCACTGCTTTCTTGCTTCTACCACCAACAGGATTGCCCTGTCGGTCCACCCAGCCTCGACTCCTGTTATCGATGAGATCCTGGATCATGAACTTGAGCCGACTAGGGTAGTCCAACCTCTTAATGTCCCTCAGACGACTGAGGAATCTAGTGCACATCTCGCGACCACGTTCATAGTGATCTAGAGTTGACCCAATGTTCAGCAATAAAATGCAAACACATTCAATGTAGTGCTCCTCAGGCTCATCCGACCGGAAAATGAGTTGACCAACGACCTCCTTGATAACCTTGGCACTCAGTAGTTGACGTAGGAAGAGTTGCCCAATAAACTTCATATTGCCCAGAATACGTTCCTTCTTCTTGGAGCGGATGACCTCCAACTCTTGGGCATCACCATTGGCCTTGGCCTCCTCCTCAGGTGTCGGAGCTAGATCCACTGGCAAGGCCTCGAACTCCTCTTGGCATTTAGTGATAAGAGCTCTTGTGAAAGTCATGGGTGTGTTGACGTCATCACCCTCGAACTCTGGCAGCACTCGGCGGAGTTGCATACACATATCAGAATAGATCTCGCAGTAGTAGCTCTCCCGAATGGCCTTGTCGAAGATGGTCCGTACCACTAACTCGAGCTTCCAACCTTCATCAATCTGAAAAAGAAGCGTGATAGTAGAGCGACAGAGGACGCGCAGCTTGACTCACCCCTAACTCTGCCAGGCTAGCAGTGACCTGCATGAAGTTCTCAGCGGTGATACGGTTGAGGTTGGACATAACCAGACGATGAAGCTTCTCTTGAGGGGATACATCCTCAAGCTTCGCTGCCACCTTATAACCATGCTCAGTGACCTTCAGTGGGGCTACTGGAGCGTTGAACCGCTTGTACTGTTGTCGACTCTGTTGACGATTATACTTATCTCGCATGGCTTGAGGACCGAGCATGTCCTTCCGCCAGTCAGCGGTGCCCATGTGCTGATGACCACCACCACCCTGTTGTCGTTGGGCCATCATGCCCTTACTAGTCTGCCGTCTTAGACCACCAGCAGAGCCACCACCGGGTTGCCGTACTTGACTTGTGCTAGCGACAGATAAGGTAACCAGTGGCTCTGGAGGGGTTTCTTCAGCGAAGTTGATCGGACGTGCACCACCACGGAAGGCCTCAGTTGCAGGGGCCACAAGGAACATACGGAGGAGGTCGTTACGTGAAAGAGGCCCATCGTAAGGTAGAGGCTCCAGAATCGGCCCCTGAGAATAGCAGCGATGATATTGCTCAACAACTATGACATATATACGCCTACCTCACTGGACTCAGCCGATGGAGTTCCTTCACCCTCAGTGCCCTCAGCCTCCTTATGGACCTCAGTATCTCTCACTGCCTCGCCCTCTGACGAGCTCGTCTCCTCCCAACTGTCCTTCTCCTTGGAGACATGCCCTGTCTCAAAAGAGGTCACGACTGCCGGCTCAGGAAGAACCGGCTGCTGCTGCTGTAGATCCACTGGTGCGGTAAGCTGCTGTGGAGCTACGACTGGACTGGGATGAACAGCCGAGCGCTCAATCGGGATATTCCTGATAGAAAACAAAAGCGATGGAAGATAGGCGATCACGTGCAAGGCTTACTTGAATCCACGCTTCTTGGCGATGGACACCACCGGAGAGGGCGACACTGCAATAGCCGGCTTGATCGGAGCCACGGGAGTTTCTAAGACAGCCTCCGGTTTACCCTCGTCGACTGCCTCCGTTGTTGCCGCCTCCTGAACCGGCTCCACCCGTGGCAGAGGAGCTACAGTGACCTTAGGCTTCCCAATAGCACGGCTGAACAACTTCTTGCGCTCGAGAGTAACAGCTGAAGTTTCCCCAAGATGATTCGGACCTTCCGAGTGAGGCGGTATGGGCACATTAGCCGCCGCAGCGGTACCACTAGTAGGAGCAGTAGAGGCCTCCTTCTCAGCGGGTGAGGTGACAGCTACTGTTGGAGGCTTTTTAGCAATAGCCTTATTAAATGCCAACTTCCTCCCACCATACAGAGTAGTAGACTTGGTTGCAGACGCTTGAGACGGCGGCGGCGGCGGTGGCGAGCTACTACTCGAATCATGACTAGCCGAGGGCTGCTGTTGTTGTGAGGAAGGCTCCGATGGAACCGATGGTGGTGGGGAAGAGGGCATCTCTCCCTCCTGAGTGGGAGCATGCAGCCCTGGCTGGGGGAAGGTTGGTATCATCATTCCAGCACCTCCTTGGACCGGCTGAGGATACATAGGCATTGCCTGTGGTTGTTGCTGCAATGGGCCACCATACTGAGGCCCCACATAGGAAGGTGCGCCATAGGGAGGCATACCGCCATAAGGGCCTCCCATAGGATACATAGGGGGAACACCACCAGCTGGAATGAAGCCGACCTGCTGTTGAAGAGCATGCTCAGAATACTGCTCATCCTCGACCTTCGCCGGCAACTGTTGACGTTGTTCGTCATCATGCTGAGCGGAGACTTCTGAGGATCCCTCCGCTCTCGCGGTAGAAGGAACTGCTGCTTGCTGCTGCTCTTTTGGACGCTTGGAGTCAACTAATGGCGGTTTGGCAGCAGACGGTAGAGGCTTGCGTAAAGCGGCATTCAAGAGCTTCTTCTTGTCGTTCACACCACGATAATCATCATGATGGGCCACTGTAGGAGAGGCTGGAGACGTAGGAGGCTGGGCTCGGCTGCCAACGGTTTCAGAGTCCTCGGCTGCATCAGTCGGAGACCCTGCTGTAGCGACACCAGCGGCAACTGCCGCAAAAGATGGTGGCTGGGCCCCGGGCTTCTGTCGAGAGACCGGCCTCCCTGTGGTAGCTGCCGTAGTGGGACGAGTTCCACCCGACTTCTCCTCCTCCACGACATCAGAGTCCACACGGGCCGGTCTAGTCGTTGTCGTAGCAGGGCCTGCATTGCTCTCGCTACCGCTGCTGTTGACAGGCTTGGGTGCTGTAGTAGCAGGTTGGTCGACCAACTTCACTTCCTGACCAGTACTGGGATCTATAAT